AAAAGTTAGTCAGCTGATTGAGTACATTTGTTAACAAACATAATGAAGTTGTGGCTTTCTGTTGTGTCATTAAATAAAGACTTCTGTTTTTATTTGCAACTAAAGGAGAAAGTCTTATTTTTTTGACAAACTAAGAAAGCAGCAGAACCATTTCAAGGAGCTGTATACCTTTGTCCCGCTGTAGCCGAGCCGCTCTCCGACGCGCTGCCCAGACTTTTACTTTGGACGTCAGTTTGAGTCCATTTGCAGATGGAAGTGTTGCTCCGTTAAAACATTTATTCCTCTGCTTCTGCATTCTGTGTCACCCAATGTGTGAGGATCACCTGTTCATGATGAGGCACCAGAGGTTCCATAAGCCAAGAGAAAAAGGTGAAATGTCAAAGATATTTTCCCTGTAGCTCTGCTCCTCAGGTAAGCATTTTGCTGGTAACCTACAGGTCTGCAGCCGCACCTTTGTTTGCTCTTTTCCCCGATACTCAGGAGCCTTTAGTAACGCCTCCCATTATCCGAGGCGGCTTATCTTTGTGCGACGTGTGCTGCTCTGCCGTTTGAGGGCGGTAAAGCAAGACATGATCCCGGAACTCAAGAGATGTTTTGCTGCTGACTCGTCAGACTCACTTACAGTAAATCCCCAGAAATATTCATTTCTAAATGAATACAAATGTGTATTTTAAAACAAACGTTCCTGTTTTATCCTGGGAAGTGTCTCCACCACAAGTTTTCTGAAATCATTCAGTTTGCATAGTAATGTCACAGTTTTTGTATCTCTTCTTCATTTCTGCAGTCGGTTTCGTAAGAATTTGTAAAAGTCAAAGAAAAATGTTGAAATTTGAGGAAGTTCCTGTTCCCCTTTTTTTTTTTTTTTTTTTTTTTTAGAAAGACTGCATGTGTAAGCAGTTTGTCCTGATGAGAACAACATGTAAAATAGTTTCTGCTGATGACACCCAAGTGCTCAGATGTCTGGGTTTTATCTGGCTTGGAGGAGCCGGATTTACCCCGGACAGGTCCAGACTTGTAACGCATTCAATGATAATAAAAAATCAGAGTGGAATTTTGAAGATTTTTGATTTTTATCAAGGCCTCCAACACAATAAGGTTCAGCCTTTGGGCTGCAGCCCTGCTGGGATGGCGGAGCCTGGCGGCTCTTCTGTAGGAGTGGCGCAGCAGACACAAGTCTCTGACCTGCTGCTTCAGTTTGGCTGATGTTTGACTTTCTTTGGTTACATTTTATCCAAGGTGTAACCAATGTTCCCTCTAATTTTTCATGTGTCTGGGTGTACACACAAGCTTCCTGGGCACACTGAGGACCACTGTGAGCATCATCAGTGTGCACGGCGTGGCCACGCACAAGTATCATAAATCTGGGATCATAGAAAGTTGCATGGCTTATTTAAAAAATCAAATTACGTCAGCAATTTTCATTCGTTTGCTTTTAATTTAAGTGATTTGCTCAATTAAAATAAAAAAAAGAAAAGAAAACATTGCTGTTCATGAGATGCATGCTATAAGTAAGAGTCCTGCTTCAGCCAGGGTGAGAAATGAGACATTACACCTTTCAGACATAAATGTTTGTTCATATTAAAACATTCACATTTTGCACAATGAAATGTTTTCTGTAGCTTGTGATGCAGTATAAATTCTTGTAAAATATTTAATTACAGTTATTTTCACGTCTGCCCTTCTCACTTCTCCAGTGGTTGTACACTTAGCCAAGGTTGATGGTCAGTCTGCTTCTTGCTTTATGTTGAATTCAGCATATTGACTATTAATGGCCTCCATAATCTGTGGGTGGAGGAGAATGGCCTCATACTTCTTTGCCAGTGTACAAATGTCTGCTTATCCATAGTCAAAAATCTGAACTCAACATTTCAATATCAAATGCAGACCATTCCTTTCATTTGATTTGATTCCATTTGATCTTAGAAGAAGTGCATTTCTTTTTTTTTACTTTGGCTTGGTGAGTGGATGTCCCACGTAGACATGATAAGGTGATGGCTTTCACGTTTCTTAACTCTACCGCACTATTCTCACCTGCACGGCCATATGACCAAGGGACGTAACCCACGTAACCCACGTACACACAGCGTGCGCTGATTGGCTGCGTAGCGAAAGTGAACCGTATCGTATCATTGGCTGGATTCCTGTCACTCACTGAGTTCGATCGCAAAGTAGTACGGAAAAAATTTTTTATTGGTCCATAGTCAAAACTGATGTCTGAGCTCAATGTCCACTTTACGTTGACTTTATTTTATGCGCTACATAGATTTTCTTGTGCGCTGAGAATATGTGAGCAGTGCGCGATTGCGCAGGCGCGCAGCTTAGAGGGAACATTGGGTGTAACCACAGTAAATACACATCTACGTATTCATTTTGCCTGAATTATGTGCTTGTTTCTATATTCTGCATCACATTTTTGACACCTACCTGCAGTTGATTCATTTCAGAGCCTATTATCTACTCCATAATCTTCCTTCTAAGAAGAAATACATTTTTTAAACAAATATTAGGGTAGCTTTCACTTGATTTCAGCTCAAGGTCAAGTTGGTAATTTTACCCAGATTTTGGCACCAAAGTGAGTCTTGAAAACAGTGGTGCTCACAAAACAAACTGAAATAGATACATAGATACATGTAGATGGAGCTGACAGCTAAATCAGCTTTAGATCAGTTGTTAAGTAGCTAATAAACCGTTAACAGTGTCCTCTTTTCAAAGTTTCTATTGTGGGAAGTTAATTATTGTAACTTTACAATAATAAAGTTGCAATTGTTTATCTTTAGTGAAAGCAAAAACTCTCGTAATGTGTTTATGACCATGTAAATAAATAACCTGACAGTGATGACAGTATTATGCAGCCAGCATCACAATACAAAGGTGAAGCATGAGTCACTACCTGTGTTTTTGGAGCTGTTATCTTGTTTTTTATCATATGTTTTTATATTACTGCTATTTACTTTGGCAGGTCCGGTTTCTGAGCAAACTGGTTTTGTTTGAGTCCCTCCCAGTTTTTGTCCGCACAGGTTTGACGTTCTTAGAATTGCAGAAGCAAAACACAGATTGCTTCTGCAAGAAGAGGCGCGGAGAATGAAAGGAGAATATAATTACTCCAACTTCCTACTAGCACTGCTGCTTTGCATTGGACAAATATATCCTCAGGAAATACAAATAAATTATTTCATTCGTCAAGAATAAATGTAGAGTAGCCTGTAGACTGCAGGTAGGCAGTCAAAAAAAAAAACACTGGAATAACATGAATGAGAACAAAAGACATGTTCTAATTCTAATTAGTGAATCGAAACTGAAAACGTAAAAATGTGAGGGGAAAAATGAAACAGTTTGAAAAATGATATGATTAATCCAAATTGAAAATGATTAGAGACTTATTTGTGAAATACTATCTGGGGAAGTTTTAGCCACAATGTGGAAATTTTCCACACAATGATTATAAGACTTAAAGGAGCAGTTTCCTGTAAAACCGACATTTATGTTTTAATTTTCTGTCATGTTGTGAAGTTATTTACTCATCAAAACATACCTTAAGTGTTGCTTTGATTCTTTCATATTAGTGAAACATTGCTTTGCTGGAATGGATGGTATTGGATGGTTTTTCAATGGTAAACATAGTGAAATTCTGTTTGTTTTGAGGATCCTCATGCGCTTTCATTTATTTTGAAATAACAAAACATGCAAATTTATCCTCTACTATATCATATATTGTCGCATATTATAAATAATCATAGTGGGAACTTTGGCCAAAAATGCCAGAGCCAAATATAAAACATAAAAACTTATGTGAGGCACGTTGGATGAGAAATTGGCATGAATGAACCAGAGAAGGGAACAAAAAAAATCCAGTAATCTGAAGAGAAAACAGTGAGCTTGACTACAGAATAACAATGCATGACGAAGTGAGGCGACACGGAACGGCTGCAGAATAGCGCAAAAGGCAGGGCATCAGTGAATAAGTAACACAAAGGAGATAAAAATGCAAAAAAATATGATAGGGATAGCATTCACTGTACCGTGATTTCATATCAAAGTAGAGAAAAAGGTTACAGAATATCAGTTTATACTTTACTGTTAGCTGTTCAGATAAAACTGTTAAAAAGGTCAAATAAAACAGAAGATGAAAGGCAGCAAAAGTAATGGGATGAAGAAAGGAAAGGAAAAGTTTTATAAAATCAGAAGGAAAATTTGGAGAAGTGAGAAAGGAGAGGAGACAATTATTTCACGACTCAGAACTGGGAAGACTGGACTTAATGGAACATTATTCATATCAGGGAAACAGCAGACTGGGAAAAGTGACTGTGGGAAAGCAGAGACAATGCAACATGCTATTTTCCATTGCAAGCTGAGAGAAATCTTTTCAATATGAAAATAAAAACGGACATCAGCTTCATCTCTATTGCAGGACTACAGCATCATGCTGCAGCATGACGTTATGGCCTGTTTTTAATGACGTATCATGTGAGCAAACTTATTCTTATGGGATTTTAATTGTGTTCCTTATTGAATGGAAATATCACAATTAAGAAATTCTGTTTTTTCAACATTAGCAAACATTGACAAAGGTTTGAGCACATTGTTGTGTATAATAATAAGAGCAGAATCTGTTGGCTTGATTTAATTAGTGTGAAACTTAGTTAGAATTATTTATTGGTTCATAAGACATCGGAATTGAAAAGGGGTGTACTTTCTATTTATTCTGACTACATTACTTGTATTTAATCTAGTGACCAAAAAATGTTAGCATAAAAACTAAACCAAGTTAAAACGAATCGCGAAACGGCTGTGGGTTCCGTGGCTGTACGCAATGACGCAACGGGAGCACGTCGTTCCAGGCGTGCTGCGTCATATCTTCCAACACATCCGCCGCTCGGTGGCCGGCTTCCAGCAGGCAGCCAGCCGCCCCAGGCCCCGCTCCTCCCTGAACCGTTATCCGCTAATCACCATCACCCCCGGTGGAAGCAAACGCGGCTCCGCCTCGGCCATGACTGGAAGGAGCCGCTGAGACCTTCCCATCCTCCGCCGGAGAGCCGGGACCTTAGTTTCTAGCGCGGTGAGTGTTTTCTGAGTGACTTTGTGGAGTTAAAAAACTGTCGTTGACGCTAAGCGGATGTGCTTCTGATCCGGAGCTCCTGCTGGGTGTTTCTGTTTGTTTCTCTGGCCGGTGGAGTTATTGTCCTGTGGAGGAAAAGCTGAGATTTGTCTCCGTTCCGGACAGTTTGTGGCCGGATGTCCTGGATTAATCAGCATGACATGAAGCCGCCGGAATCCTGCTCAACTTAACCCATTTATTCACCAGAAACACCAGAAAGTTCCTGAATCACAGCCATTCATTAACTCACCCACTCATTCATTCACTCCTTGCTAACTATTTAAACAAACTGAAGATATTATCCTGCTAGATCAACAAACTTCAACATGTTTTCTAGGATTTAGCTGAAGGTTAGCGTCTATAAACATCAGTTTTCAGGTTTTATCACAGATTCGCATCCTTATTTCCAACGGGACTTTGATTAGGCCATATTAAGGCAAAATCTGCTTACAATATTAACCATCCCATAATATCTAGGTTGGATGAAGCTCCACCATGTCTTCTGCAGCCTCTAAGCTAGGCCTGTCGATTACAAACCGCTGGACGACAAAATATCCCCGAAATTATTGCAATAAATGATAATATCGTTTTGAGACCATTTTCAGCTCATATATTGGTAATGACATAGTACTGGATGTACACAGACTCACAGATCAATAAACTTCAGTTTCTAAAGAACAGTTAACACTGGAGCTCAGATACATTTTAAACATCCAAAATAAAAAAAGATAAGGTTTTAAATGTGTTTTATTCTTTTTAAAACACATAAATGAAGTGGCTTCAGGCAATAACATGCTTATTTTCTTATTTGGAAAAGAACTGAACAATTTATTCGCATCTATAAAATGTTTATAATGAACAGAAAAGGCTTAAGAGGTCAGATGAAAAATCTGCAGAATTATTTTTTTACCTAATTAATGAAATTAATAAATAATTATGAGCTGCACCTTTGATCTGCTCGCTGAAGGAAAAGTTATTTTGTCGTCAATATTGGTTTTACTTTTATTTTGAAAAGTGGATTGAGCAGTTTTTATCTTTCAAACCAAATCAATCCTTGATAAAATAGTTTATTTTTCTTTTTTGCCTAAGTTGGTTTGTGTGCGAATTCAAGATGTCAGCTTGAGATTCACTGAGCCACCAAAAAGCACGGCGGTGGCAGCATCATGCAACGGTAGTATTTGTGGAGGTTTTAAATGGTTTTAAGTAACATTTTTAAAGCTGCAGTATGTAACTTTTATACAATAAAAAGTTTGTACATTATTAAACGTCACTGAGTTGTAACAGAATAATATGAGACTTACATAAAAAAAAGAGCTAATTGCAGAAATCCAGAGTTCAGTCAACCAATCGGAGCCAGGAGGAGGGTCTTACTGCTGTCAATCATTCCAGTGAACGCACCTCCCGCTTGCTCTCTGCTGTGCTATAAGCTAGTTAACATAGACACTAATTACGGCAGATAAACAATTTTCTGGAACAATAAATTGTTTCTCCGCCATTCGCACCTTTGCCAGCGTACAGGAGCATGATTGACAGCGCTAAGCCCCTCCCTCTGGCTCTGATTGGTTGTTTTAGGTCAGGATCTGGGCATTTCTTATTGGTAGATCAGAGTGGAGGTAGAGGAGATCGATCTTTTAACAGATTATTTGTCTCATATCACAGAGTCAGAACATAGTGAGAGTTTTATTAAATATGTAAAAATAAATATTCCAAAAGTCACAAGCTGCAGTTTTACAGTGAAATGATGGCTGTTCGTTTGGTCCCTCAGGTGTAAATGAGGCGGAGCCTGAGGCGCGGCGGTGGTGATGGTGTTGAACTCAGGTGAAGTCTTCATGGATCAGGTCGAGGCTGAAAGCGTCAGGGACCGGTCGGACGTCCGTCCAGATCCGCCCAGAACCGCCAAAGCCAGACGGAGCAGTGCGGCCAAGAAGGAGGCGGTGCCGTCCCAGAACGGGGTCGTGACCCCGAGGACCAGAGCGCCCGTCCGCCGGCCCCTCAGCATGGAGGTGACTCCGTCGCCGCGTCCCGCAGTGCTTCAGCCGCCGTGGCGCAGCGGTGCGGCCGCCCCGTCGCCCCGGGCTCGCAGCCTCACCAGCCCCGGCCTGTCGGCGGGCGGCTGGATGCGCCGCAGCGAGAGCTCCTGCTCCGTCAACTACACCGCAGGGCCGCGGGCCGGCGGACGCTTGCGTCCCGCCACCTCCCTGCCTCACATTGCCAAAGGGACGGTGGGCTCGGCGGCCCCCCCGCCGGCCCGACCCTGCCTGCTGGTCGCCCTGCGACCTTTGAACCTGGAGCAGGAGAAGCAGACGTTCTTCCAGTCCGACTATAAATACGAGCCGCAGTTCGAGTACGCGCAGCCCGAACCGCGGAGCGTTCTTGACAAGTACCGGGAGGGGTCGGGCCTCTTCGTGGAGCAGGTGGGTCCCACTCTGACCTTTGACCTCGACACAGCGACCCAGTTCTGATCGCCTCTGGTTGTCCGCAGGCCGTGGGGATCATGGAGTGCGTCCTGAGGAAGTTCGGCTCCTACGAGAACTTTGAGGAGGCGACAGGAGGCAGCGTCCTGCCCAAGAGTCAAGTCTGGGCGGCGGTCCGCAAATACCTGCAGAAGGAGGGCTGCGTGGGGGAGGTGAGGGCAGGCGGGACGGAGGAGTGGCTGTTACCTGTGCAGGTGTTTACCTGTGTGTGTTTGCAGGTGGTGGTGCGTCTCTCTGATGAGCTGCTGTCGCAGGCCGTCATGGTGGTGGAGAGCTGCCGTCCCACTCTGACCATCAACCTGGCCGGCGCTCGCCAGCACTGGCTGGAGGGGATGCTGCGGCACGAGATCGGTGTGTGCACACGCGCACACACACACACACACACACACACACAGAAGCAGCATATTTTCTATCCTCCTCCTCTTCCTCAGGAACCCACTACCTGCGCGGCGCCAACAACGCGCTGCAGCCCTGGGCGTCCGCCGAGGCGCGGCGGCAGCTAGGCCTGAAGCCGGCCAACCCGACGGAGGAGGGCCTGGCCAGCCTGCACAGCGTTCTGCTGAGGAAGCAGCCGCACCTGTGGCGCGCGGCTGCTCTACTACACCGTGTTCCACGCCGCCAGCATGAGCTTCAGCCGCCTCTTCGCCCACATCGCCCGCTTCGTCCACGACCCGGACGTCCGCTGGGAGTACTGCCTGCGTGCCAAGAGGGGTCAGACCGACACCGCGCAACCCGGTGAGTCATACACACACACACACAACACACACACACACACACACACACACACACACACACACACACACACACACACACACACACACACACACACACACACACACACACACACACACCTCCAGGTTTCAGGACCGACTGATGACCTTCACCTCAGCCAACCAGGAATAACGTTATGTTTGTTCGTACAGTAAGCTAACCGCTAACCTAAAACAGACTCATTCAGGCCCGACGGGGCAAAAAAACACCAACAGATTTTTAACGGTTTTCATCTCTAACGAGGAGCCGTTTGTTCAGACCTAAATGCAGAACGGGAGGAAACTTTAATTTTCTGCAGAAAGTCAGTCAAGAGCCTGAGAGACAAAACCCAGGGAACAATGGCTTAAGAAAAAACATTTATTTCATCTTTGTGTAGAAAATCCTGTCATCGTTGGTTTTTTTCAGGTTGCTTCAGCAAAGATCAAGTCTACCTGGACGGGATCCTGCGGATTCTTCGCCATCGGAGGAACATCGACTTTAAGATGCTGACGTCTCTAGGAAAGGTAAGCGACCGTATTATCTGACGCCTGAGATGAACTGAGACAAACGATCCAAAAGATGGAAAGAAAATAAATGACAGGAACCGAGTTTTGCGCCCTGAGTTCTGCTTGAAGGCATCAGTCTGTCCTGAAACCAAAAAATGCTTCATTTTGCTACGAAGATTTCTTTCTCAACATGTTTCCAACCTGTCTCCTCCGCAGGTGTCTTTCGAGGATGTGGAGCGTCTGCGTCCTCTGGCGGCCCTGAACCGGACCAGAATCCCTCACTTCATGCATGACCAGGCGCGTTACCTGCAGCACCTGGACCACATCGTGGCCGTCAACGAGCTGGACGACGCAACGCTGCAGCAGCTGCTGCCCTGAATCCCACGAAAGGTCACATCTTAACGGCGCTCTATGGGGAAAAATGTCGCATTGTAACAAAACTTGATAGGGAGTCGTAACGACTCTTTATGTGAAAAACCTGCCCAGCGATTTTATTGATTCCCACCAAAACTTGACAAGGAAAAACATTGTAACGTCACTTCCTGTGGAAAAACCCGTCCAGCGTTTTTATAAAACTTGAACGATCCAAACGGACGACACCTCCCTCGTTTTCACTCGGATGCATGGTTGTGCTGCGTTTCGCGCCGATGGATCGGTGCATTTAACTGCGCTCCCTTTATCAAGTTACCTCACTATTATCACTACGTAATCACCATTTATATGTAGACTCACATAATCATAGACGGCTTTATTTATGTTTCACTCGTTACGTTTTTGTAGGTTGCAAAAAGAACAAACTGAATGTCACTGGTTAGCTTTATGTTTGTTTTTGAAACGACGTTTTTATGCCTTAGATTGTTTGCATTTTTAAAAAGAACACCAAGGACACAACATTTAAAAACCAGAGGGGTTCGCAGTGACTGAGGTCATGAATCTTTAAAATACCAAGTGCCACTGGACTCAGCCGAGCGTTTCGCCCCAGGGTTTTAATTATCAGTGTTATTATGGAGCTAATCAGCGGCGTTGTCTTAATTGTGTCCTTGGTGAGCTTTCTTAGTTCGCTACTGTGAGTTCTCCCGCTGCAACAACCAAACTTTACTTTGTCTGGTTCAACATTTGGGATCTTTGGTGGACGTTTCCCAAAGATAACAGGGTTTTGGTGACTACCGCCTCTGAAAATCAGGACTTTTAAATCAAAAATATAATCCATTCAAACTTTAATCAATGCATTTGAAATAACCTTGAAAAGCAGATAAAAAGCTTAATGATATCTAGGAATACTAATCGATCACAGAGATTGGATTATGAAAGGTAAATTTTAACATTATTAGCTAAAAATAAGCTTTTTTGGTGAAAGGGAAAGAGAGTTTAAAAGATGAATGTTATTTATGGAAGTCAAAAATAATGGCATAAAGGAGACCTAGCAGACTGGCACCTTTCAGAGATTATAAAAAACTATTACTTGTAGTGTTGTTTCGCTCTAAAACTATCCCAAAATTAAACAGTGGTCACCAGAATATTAAAGTGTATGTTTATGAATTGGCCCTTATTTTATAAATATTGACAAAATCTTATAAACTGAGCTGTAGGAATCCGTCCAATTAAGCAGCTTAGATAAAAAAAGACTTTTCTCAAACACTTTAGTGAGTGTCGGAGTACTTCTCAGCCTCAGAGCCTCTAAAACCTGGACACTTTCACTTTTTCTTCACTTTTAATTTGTTCCTTAAAATTAGACATTATTTCTCTACACAGCTTGTGACTCACCTAGCAGCGGTCGGTAAGCTGAGCATGGACAGAATCTGGTCCTTGATGACATCACAGAGCTTTCTGGGGTTTTATGCAACAAGTCTGTTACATTCGTTGAGAGAGAGCTGGAGTTTGGTGAGAGATTGAGATAGTTTGCGATTTTAGCTAAATAGTTCTTCAAGTATCTGAGTTTGCTTTAGTATCCATTGCAAATCCAAGAAGCCATGAGCCACATTGCGAATCCAAAGCCTTGTGCGCTCCCGGTTTTTTCTGGGAACATGATCGCGCCGATGGTTGAAGAGTTTTTTTGGTCCATTTCATTGGATCAGACCCTGGATTTAGCCATGGGGAATCCTGATTGCGACACCAAGTCGTCCTTGAAGGAGCTGCTTTTAAACTTACTGAATGAATGTGGCAGCTTCATTCTCTGCAATATCCCTAAGAAGGGCATCAGATTCCAAGATGTGGACACGATCTTGGGAAATGTGCTGCTAACAACATTTGCAGACACCCTTCAGATTACAAGGAAGGTTCATCCCAAGAGTTTTGACTGTTTCAATGACTTATTTATTTCATATGTCAAAGAATTGTTGAAATCTGTCTGCTCCACGCAAGGTCCAGCAACTTCTGTGGCCGGCCACAAGTCTTGGTTCGGACGCAGTGGATTCAATCCTTCCACTTGCTCTCCAGCTGATAGAGGAATTGCTAGTGTGTTGCTGTAAAGAACATCGTCAGAGAGAACGAAAAGCTGCTAGAGAACAGCAACAGAGAGAAGAGCACCCAGGTGCCAGCTCTGATTTCCAAGCTGCAGAGGACGACATCATCAAAACTCCACAGAATACAGGAAACCTGGAACCAGGCATCCTTGAGAAATTAGACTCTGAAGTGGCAACAGACGAGACGTTATGACAGAAATCTTGTTTCTGAAAATCAGGAATCAGACTTGAAGATGGTGGATGAATTCATTTTGAGGAACTTTCAAAGACCATGCATATAAATGAGTTGATCTCTAAGGAAAGGGAATCAGATATAAAGATGGTGGATGAATTTATTTCTGAGGAGTTTTCAGATCTGACAAAAGCTGCTAATCTTATGATGAAGGAAAAGGAGTCATATCTGAAAATGATGGAAGACTTCATCTTTGAGGTGCTGCCAAAGGTCAGGGAAGTGAAAAAGTCAATCTCTGACCAACACCGTTTAGCGATCCCAGGTAATTCATTGGACGACCTTCCACCAATTGACAAACGAGAGTCTAGAGATGGAGCTGCTTCTCTTGCCATTGCTCAACAGAAGAAAAAAGCAGCTGGAGTCAAAATGGAGAACTGTCAAAATTACTGCAAAGAACAATGCAATAGAGATTCACCGACTCCAGGGAGGAAGAAGCAACAGTTCCAACAGTGGAAAACTTCATTTTAGAGGAATCGAAGCAGCCAAAAGGCAGACAGTTAGTTGATGCAGAGCAGGAGTCAGTGGTTACCACAAAGGTTGCTGAACCGCTGCCAGTCGCAGAGAAAGAGGAGCAGCAGTCATCTGAGGCTCCAATGGGAAGAGAAGCAGCAGGAGATGGAGCTGCTCCTCTTCCCATTGCACAACAGAAGAACAAAGCAGCTGGAGTCAAAACGGAGGACCTTGAAAATTACAGCAAAGAACAATGCAGTAGAGTTTCACCGGCTCCAGGGGATGAAGAAGGAACAGTTGATGAAGAGAAGGAGTCAATGGTTACCACAAAGGTTGCCGAACCGCTGCCAGTCATAGAGAGAAAGAGGAGCAGAAGTCATCTGAGGCTCCAGTGGGAGCAGCTCTCCCAGTAGAGAGCCCAGTGGAGAGCTGCTCCTCTCCAATAGGACGAGGAGCAGCTGGAGATCCAGCTGCACAACAGAAGAATAAAGCAGCTGGAGTCAAAGTGAAGAACCGTCAAAATGACAGCAAAGAACAATGCGATAGAGTTTCACTGGCACCAAGGGAAGGAACACTTCCAATAGTGAAAAACGGAATTTCAGAGGAATTGACTCACTCAAAAGGCAGACAGATAGTTGATGCAAAGCAGAAGTCAATGGTTACCACAAAGGTTGCTGAATCGCTGCCAGTCGCAGAGAAAGAGGAGCAGAAGTCATCCATCATGCTGCTTGTTAATGCAATTCTTATCAAGGTCATTCCAAAATCAAGGATACCATGCAAGTTCGAAGACCTCCAAGCCATCATAGAGAGGTTGTCTGAGAAATCTATGCCGAGGTAAAGGGTCAAGATCTAAAGAACATTCAAAGTAGTCTGAACAATCTCTGCAATGACATACTGAGAGCAGTCTCCAAAAAAATGGGCTGCTCAAAAAAGATGTTCTCTTAATGTTGGGTTTCAACAGTCAATGGTAGAGGAGCCATTCATTTCCATTTGCAAAGAGAAATAGTAAAACCAGCCAAAAAATCCAGCCGCATTAAATCTTCTGGGACTCTACATTCAAGATTCTTTTCAAGTCAAAATAATAATCAATCTGGAAATTATATTAATCACAGAGGAAAAGCAGCAGTAAGTTTATTGACCTGAAGTTCTTTGCGCTCGGACACTGGTGGAAGAGTGCGTGCTGAGAATCACTGTGAGTTTGGATGAGGGGCCAGACACAGCACAGCCTAAAGACCCCAATGATGAATGACAACTTTGGACTTGGTGTTCCTTTGCCCGGACGCGGGTCACCGGGGTCCCACTCTGGATTCAGGTCTGGAGGTGGGGCACGATGGCGAGCACCTGGTGGCCGAACTTTTACCCATGGGCTCAGCTCGAAGAGGAAGCATGGGTCCCCCAAACCATGAGGAGGCCAATGGGGTCAGGTGCAGTGTGGGATGGGTGGTGGCCAACAGCACCAGGACACCCTTGGCCACAGTTCGATGACCGACTTTGTCATCGTTTTATCGGATCTGCAACCGTATGTCTTGGACACTCGGGTGAAGAGAGGTGCGGAGCTGTCCACTAACCACTACTGGAAAAGGGTTAGAGTGCCTTCTCCGGGTGAGGGGGTGTCCTGCCCCAAGTGGAGGAGTTTTGAGTATCTTGGGAGCTTGTTCATAAATGAGGGACGAAGGGTGCAGGAGATCGACAGGCAGATTGGTGCAGCATCTGCCGTGAAGAGGATGCTGTACCGGTCCGTCATGGTGAGAGAGAGCTGAGCCAAAAGCGACACTCTCAATTCATCAGGAATCTACGTTTCCCACCCCATATATGGTCATGAGCTTTTGGTCATGACCAAAAGAATGAGATCTCGGATACAAGCAGCAAAATGAGTTTCCTCCATAGGGTGTATGGGCTCTCCCTTAGAGATGGGGTGACAAGCTCAGTCATCTGGGAGGGACTCAGAGTAGAGCCGCTGCTCCTCCACATCGAGAGGAGCCAGTTTGAGGTGGCTCGGGCATCTGGTTAGGATGCCTCCTGTGGACACCTCCCTGAAGAGGTGTTCCAGGCACGTCCCACCGGGAAGAGGCCCCGGGAAAGACCCAGGCCACACTGGAGGGACTATGTCTCAGCTGGCCTTGGAATGCCTTGGGGTTCCCCCGGAGGAGCCGGGAAGTGGCCACGGAGAGGGAAGACTGGGCCTCCCTTCTGAAGCTGCTACCCCCGCGACCCGAACCCAGATAAAGCAGAAGGAAATGGATGGCTTGGATGACCGGCTCGGGGCGGAGCTCAAGGTAATCTTCCCCCGGGCCAAGACTCTGGTGGTGGAGTGAAGCCTGGAGAGGAAGGAGCTTGGACGGATAGGAAGGTTAAGTATTGACACACAAAGTTTGAAGGAAATCATTTGGAGAGA